AGATAGATAGATAGATAGATAGATAGATAGATAGATAGATAGATAGATAGATAGATAGATAGATAGATAGATAGATAGATAGATAGATAGATAGATAGATAGATAGATAGATAGATATGCACTGCAGTGTTTTTAAGTTCTCTCAAATAGTAAATGTTAAATATTTGTTTTAAGTGTCAACATGATGTGGGTCAGTGAGGTTAATATTAGTTCTTCTTGGGAAAAAAATCATATTCTCATAAGATTTAGACACAAAACTGTATTTTTATTTTATTTTTTTTTTTACATCCTTCATCTAATTCTTGTTCTGTTGCCTTTTGACTTTGCCTGCTTTACTGTTTATCCACAAATATCTTACCCTTTTTTTTAAATTAATATTTATATTAATTACATTTAATTTAAATTAAAATTAACAATTATCTCAGCAACTCATTTCAATAAGCGGCGCATTCATTGAAAGAAAGGAAGAAAACTTGACGTAACTCCACTAGAGTGATTTTAGGAAACATGGATCTGTATATGTGTTAGTGGCACATTTTGTCTCCTTCTGGGATGGAAACATCCACAAATCCTCCGGATGTGGAAGTGAATTCTAGGCTTTGGCTGCGTCCACAGACAGGAGAGGAGAAATGAGTCCAGTGATGCTTCTTTTAGCTGACCTAACTCAGATTTATAGATTATAACGTAGCAGGATTTAGAACCATGTCACCATATTTGCACAAGTTGATTTGGATTCAGAAATGCTCGAAAGCTAACAAAATAACGGCCTTAATCATTTGCATATAACTTCCTAATAGTGTCAGATAAATAAACAGACTTGTGTTTTTTTAATTTGTTGTTTTATGTAGTTTTTGTTGTACTGGCTCCTTTACTCTCACTGAAGGGAAATTATTGTTTTGATTTATGTTGTTGTTTTTTTTTTTACTTTTCGTGACATGAAAAACACAAAAAAACAAACAAAAAAAAAAACAGATTAAGCTCTCCAATTTCCCCGTCTTTAAATTAATTTAATTTCTACTTACAACAGGGAAGCAGTTAAGACGTCAACTGACTTTAATGTGTTAGAAAAGTTTATTGACTTTCTTTGAGACCAAAAAAAAAAAAGGTAATAATTTTAATGGAGTGTTTGTGTTAACTTAAAGTGTAGATTTATATAAAACAAATATTTAAATTAGTCACACGTTAATTGAAAAAAAAAAATGCACATTTTCATGAAATTAAACTGAATATCCAGAATTGCGCAACACATAAAACTAGGAACATTAATCACAAAACATAGTCTTGCCATGTTTGTATTTTCCTCTTGTTTTACGGAAGGTTGATTTTCAGCATCTCATGTCTTCTTTTCTGTTTTGGTTTACTGCTTTATAAAATAGAATGTACATTTTAATTTATTTTGCTCATTTACTGCTCCTCAGCTAATGGTCATCTACTCGTTATTTAGTATTTTTTCCTGTGACGTTGCTTTTTTTCTTTGAATCCAACACAAATATTCCTCCAGAATTTAACGTTTTCCATTAGACAATTCCACACTCTTCCAGACTCAATTTTCCCTACATGTTACACATTTTGTGCAAACTTTTAATGTCAGTTTACAATAAATATTTGTAGAGTGTTCAGGGTTTACATTTCAAATGCCATAAAAACCTCCAAGCGCCATTTGAGGCATGAATTGTAAAGACGTGATTGTGTATGTGTCAGAATGGTATATTTATATTTAAAAACTATGTACTAGTTGTGACAAATGCACCAAAACTTTACATCAGAAATTTATTTTTTTATTTTTTAGATAGTTTTTCTTTTCTTCTTTCCATATCCAGACTTGGCAAAATATTAAAAGCAGCATTTGGTCAATATTTTTCTTAACTACAGAATCCCGTCTGTCTTTTCAGTCCCATCAGACCTTGAAGATAATTTGCTCAGAGGTTAAAGTTTCAGTTTCCTCTCGTCTTTTCTGTTTCTGTACCTTCAGTGTGTGCGTCTCGCTGCCAAAAGTTCTTGATCTCGCGTGTGGGAGAGGACTGGATCTTCCTCATTCTGCTGGGACTGCTAATGGCTCTGGTCAGTTGGGTCATGGACTACGCCATTGCCTTCTGCCAAGAAGGTAAGAAAGAGACAAACAACTATCCATCCATCCATCCATTATCTTTACCCTACTTCTTCCTTTTTGGGTTGCGGGGGTCACTGGTGCCCATGTCCAAGTGCCCTTGCCACTGTGCAAGAGACAGGGGACACTCTGGACAGGTCTCCAGTCCATCACAGGGACACATAGAGACAAACGAGGCAAACAACCATTCACTCTCTCACTCACACCTAGGGACAATTTAAAGTTACCAATCAGCCTAACATGCATGTTTTTGGTCTGTGGGAGGAAACCGGAGTACCCGGAGAAAACCCACGCATGCACAGAGAAAACATGCAAACTCCATCTAGAAAGGCCCCCGGACCAGGATTTGTTCTGGTGACCAGGTCTCCAACAAGCGACTATCCAAGGCTAAAATAAATTACCATAATCACTTATGCAAAGTGACATTAATGTTTAATCGCTGAGACGTCAGATCTCTTGGTGAGCTGTTTGGAGTCACTGAGTTTAACTTATAAAGTCGGTTAAATCAGTGAAGAGCTGCAGTCGAAACAAGATGCAGTAACTGAGCAGGGGTGAGACTGTGCTGTGGCTCTGCAGATATCAAAACCAAACTAAAACTAAATAAATAAAACCAAACAAACAACAGCAAGCATTTCGCCTCACAGCTTTTTGCCCTGTATGTTCAGGAGTGACTCCATTTCCTCGTCTGCTGAGGCTCCTCTTTGAACGGGAGGCTTTCGTCTGCTATGGCCATAGATATTAACCTCAGCTCAGGTGCAAGAACCGCCTGAGGACTTCCACCACTGCCACCAAATTCTTCATCTCCATCATCACCACTTATCCATGTTCAGGTTGCAGAGGCAACAGGTCCAAGAGAGAAACCCACACATCCCTCTCCCCAGTGACACTCCTGATCCTCCTGGAGGACCTCAAAGCATTCCCAGGCCAGAGAAGAGACACAATCCTTCCAGCAAGTTCTGGGTCTCATCCAGGGCTTCTTACCATTGGGACTGAAAAATATTCAAAGGGAGGCAACCAGGAGGCATCCTTATCAGATACCTGAACTTCCTCAAGTGACTCCTTTCACTGCCAAGGAGCAGCTGCTTTACTCCAAGCTCCCCCCAGATGACAGAGCTCCTCACCCGCTGAGGCTGAGCCGGGCCACCCTACGAAGGAAGCTCACTTTGACCCATGCATCATGACCATAGGTGCTGGTTGGAATGTAGACAGACCAGTAAATCACGAGCTTTGACTTTCACCTCAACTCTTTCTTTACCATGACCGACCGTATCGACACCCTCATTACTAAGACCCCAATCTGTGAATCCATCTCCCACCCCATCCTACCATCCCCTTTGAACAAGACACCCAGATACTTAAATTACTCCACCTGTGACAAAGACTTCCCACTGACCAGGAGGGGGCAAATTGTCCAACAGTTATGAAGACAGAAAGATCCAGCTTGCTGCTTTTTAACTAATTATTTTTTTAAAGTCAAGCAGAACATTCCAGTGATGAAACTTATCCAAGTGGAGAGCTCATTTGAACAACGTTTTTCAGTACACCAGTCTCATCATACCTGGAAGGCTTTGACCTTTTCATTCATTCAACCTTTATTTATACAGGTTAGTTCCCATTGAGCCTCAGGGGACTCATTTACAAGAGAGACCTAACTGTGAACCATCAGTATCTTATCAGAGAATCTTATTTGTCTACAACATAGTTTTCTAAATGCAGCGCTCGCTGACTTGGCTCATGCTGCATGACTTATTCAGATCCTTCTAAATGCTTACATGTCGTCTCTTATCTAAACTGTTCGATCAGATAGGCACAAATCTCCTCTCCTGGGATAGTTTCTGTTTTGGCTAGGTTTTAAATCTTGTGGCTTTTCTTCCTTCTCTTCCTCTTTTCGTATGACGTTTGGAGCTTTTAGAACCGAGTGATTAATGAGCACTCAATCTGCCAAAGGTGAAAAATAAATAGATTCAGACCAAACGTGAGAAAGAAAGTCAAAAATAGAGAAAGTGCGTTGGTTAAAATTTATGTTGCTTTATATAAAAGTGAATTTACTTACTTGTTTGTGTGTGTGCAGCTCAGAAATGGATGTACGGTGGCCTGGACAGCAACATGCTCCTGCAGTACATCGCCTGGGTTACCTATCCAGTGGTGCTCATTACTTTCTCAGCAGGATTCACTCAGATCCTGGCACCTCAGGCTGTGGGTAAGACATAACATTTATGCTCAAATCTATGTGTCCCTTTTACTAATTCATGGACATTTTTTGTGTTTGAATAATGCAATTGTCTGAAGTTCACACTAAAGGCTCCAAGGGCATGTGCTGCAAGTCTCCGCAGGACATTCATAAAATGTGTCTTTGATGAGATGTGCACACACTAAACTATGAATATCAATCACTCACCTCCCATCCCTTTGCTCTTCATTTATTCATCTTCACCCCATTCAGTGTACCGGTAATTGCCTTCTTTCATCGTGCCTTTTTTCTTCACTCCATCACCCCACCTGGTATCTCTTTTTCTTTGTTTTCCCAGGTTCAGGTATTCCTGAGATGAAAACGATACTTAGAGGGGTGGTTCTCAAGGAGTATTTGACTTTCAAGACGTTTGTGGCCAAAGTCATTGGTCTGACCTGCGCTCTGGGCAGTGGGATGCCTCTGGGGAAAGAGGTAAGGGCATCAGACACTCTGCCTGTTAGACTGATGACCTGCAGCTGAGCGCTGGTGGAGGTCACAGCTCATTTTGACTTCTTTTAAACTAAAGTGTGCCTTTGATGCTGTCAGTCACAGCCGCCTTTTTGACTAATTTAGAACTATGAGTTGTAATTAAAAGCTTGGCTCTGAATTCAAAACACTCAAACCTCTCCAACAGAACCTTTGCCATCACTTTTAACAATTAAACGTCAGTTCTGGTGTACCTCAGGGGTCAGTTCTTGGCTCTTGTTTGTGCCGCATTTACAGTATATGTCCTTTGAAAAACATGGTGCACTTTCATATGGATTTCACAAATTTGTACATTTCCTATAAAACCAACAGATCTCAGCAGCTTTGGAGATCTTACAGCTTGTATTTCAGACATTAAATTCTGGACTGCCCAGAATTGTTCCAAATTCAACCGTGACAATAATAGCATGCTTCATGCTAATGGCTGGTCCAGTTTGAATTTGAGTTGTATTTCATTTTTCAGAGCTGTTTGCTCTACTCAGTGTTGCAATGTTCTTTAATTTGTGTCAAGTTTGCTGATCTCTCTCTCTCTCCCCCCACAGGGACCATTCGTTCATGTTGCCAGTCTGTGCGCTGCTCTGCTGAGTAAATTCATGGCTGCTGTTTTTGGTGGAATTTACATGGTAATGAAGGTGAACATGATTACAAATAATCAGAAATGAATGCAAATTTGTGTTTAAACAGTATTCCTTTGTATATCTATCTTTCTAATGACAAAACTGGGGTGATTTAATATTGAAAGGTATTAATTAACTTTTTGTGTGAAGTCTCAGATGTGGGGGTTGTTCTCAAAAAAGAAAACCATCTTTTTTTAAAAAAAAAAAACACTGAATCTGTTAAAGTCTAGTGATCACTGGGGACAATTTCAGAGCAGACCTTTTTGTCTAATATTGAAGATCTTAGTCACAGAAATTACAATATTAAAGATACACACAGGTCACAGGATTCAGCTGCTTACAGCTTGTGCTTGACTATATGATTTATTTATTTATTTATTTAATTAGATTTCTGGAGTTTCTTGAGTTCTGTGGATGCACTTTTCAAGGTTTTTAATTTAAACTTTTTTTTTAGCTCGGGGAAAAATGGGATTTAAAATGTAGCTTAGTACAGTTTTAAATCATTGAATGCTTCACATGATTTCTGGATTTTTTTTAAAACACAGATTAAACCTGAAAAAAGGTCGGTGCCACTGTGGCTCAGTGGTCTGTGGCCGTAATCCTCAGACTGCAGGTTTGAGCCCAGGTTGCGTCAGGAAGGGCATCTGGTGTAAAACAAGTCTCTTGTGTGAGTTTGCTCACTGTGGTGACTTCTGCAGAGGGGAGCAGCTGAAATAAAAACAATAATTAAAAAAAACTGGCAATAAATGAAGAACAAAAATTTATTGCAAAACAGACATAACTTTTTATTCAACTTAAACAAAATACCTTCGTGTGCTCCTAAACACTTTTTAAAACCCTGAGCTTGTCACTGCATGAATAAAAGCAAGTCAAAGCATCATCCTAGGAATAATTTGAAAATATTTATATTGTTTGAACTTCTAGATTGCCTCCTTCTCTGGAATTAAACTTATTAAAGGAGAGTTTAAGCAGAAAACTGTGCTCTGAGATGATTTAATAGACTTTGATACGGGGTATGGAAAAATAAAAAGCAACCATCAAGATTATTATCAGCTCACTGTTCAAAGCTGGCTTCATGGAAGTTTATTTGTGTAATTTTTTAAAACTTATTATTAGGAATCAGGGTTGTAAAATATTTACCCACTTGAATCTTTTAACAAAAATTTTAGTCATTATGGAATACAAAGAAAAAACTAAAACCATGATTATTTCTGCCATTCCCCAGGACACACTCTCACCTCCACGCACATGAAACCTCACGCTGGGATGCTGTGTTTCTCCTCGCTGCACCAATATGGAGGAACATGGACAGCTGTGATATCCAAAAGGAACAAATAAATCAATAAAAACACTTGTCAGCATCCTCCACCCAGTGGACACCTTTAAGGACATTAAGCATCATCAGTCAGAGAAATGTTAATTCAGTTCTTCGTGGATTTAAAGCTGTTTTCTGAAGCTCGTCTGCTGAAGCAGGAAATAACCTGTACTCTCAAATATTTTTTGTGTTCATTTTTATGCTAAAGGAAGAGCCCTTTGAAGGAAGCAAGGTACGAACTCACAAGTTAGAAAGCTTTTTTTCATTGCCAGTTCCACCAGCATCAATAATCCATGCTGTCCATTTCAGAAACCGAGGCGGACTGATGTCCTTTTGTTTGTCTGCGCCATGCTTGATTCTGTTCAGTCAGCCGTCGTCGAGAAGCATCGATATCCATCACCTTTTCTTTGCTACTAACATCTCATTTCACAATTTCAAAAATCCATCACTTGTTTCATCTGACCCTGCTACGTTCAGTTTTGTAATATAACCGCAGCATTTTTTTTAAATAACTGCATTTTTGTGTGGGCGCTGTGTGTTTTGTTGGCATTTGTCTGTGTCCATGCACCTTTTAGTATCTGTGTGTGTGTTTCCTTGAATGTATGGCCTTGTGTCTTTCTGTTTGTGTATATCTCTGACTCTGTGTTGATCAGAACGAGCTGAGGAACACAGAGATGCTTTCGGCTGCGTGTGCAGTGGGCGTTGGCTGCTGCTTTGCCGCCCCAATCGGAGGTAAGACACAGAAACTACAAATCTAACCGTAGATAAATTCAAAAGCTAACTGAATGAAGTAGTAGAGAATGCTAATCTTCGTCGAAATCTTGAATCTTAATCCAGAGCAACGTCCTGTATCTCCATGATTTTCAGCCTAACTGCCTCAAATCTTACATATATTTATGTTTCCCATTGTTCCTTGTGGAACATTTCATGTTGACTCAACCAGAGGTCCCATCTGTCCATCCATTCATCCATCCATCATCTTCATCCATCGTCTTCTGTTCATCTGGGGTTTGCCATGGTGGTGGTAACAGGATGAGCAGGATATTCCAGACATCCTTCTCTTCAGCGATGTTTTCCAGCTCCTCCTGATGGATGCAGAGACCAGATGAGAGATGTAATCCCTTCAGTGAATTTTAGGACTGGAAGCATGCTGCTACATAAAACTGGAAAATCTCAAAAATAGAGGCGCAGTAAACATCTGAATCAGATGCCTGAATCAAATGGATTACGAACACCAGCAAGCCGTGGCTCTCTCTGAGCTCCCCCCGGGTCTCTGAGCACCTTGTCCTCTAGAATACATGGAGTCCAGCCACACTACACTACAACTTTTTGCATTTACAGTCTCACTTTTTTTAGTTATGACTCGAAGCTTGTGATCAAAACTGGGCTAATGGTATAAGAACCACACGGCCTGCATTTTTTGAAGCATGGGCCTAATCTTTACTATGCCTGCACTCCATCTTTCTCTCACTCATCAACACAGCTCCAGGATGCAGAAACTCACTTGTTTGAGATAAATAGCTCCCCTCAAGCCCTGAGGGTTCATTAGAGGGTCCTATTCTCATCTCAACTATGTCCCTTCACTAAAAACTGCCCCAATCTGCATTGAAGGTCACGTCGTAAAGAAGCTAACAAAATCACATCATCTGCAAACAGCTGAACCTTGAAGTTACCTTTCTCCAAGTATAAACCTTTTTTCTTGTATTGGTGATGGAAGATCAAACAGTAAGACAAAGATATCTAAAAAAATAAAATAAAAACAATGATTTGTGGAATTTTTTTTTTTGCAAATATACAATATATGTTGTTTTTATTTTTTGTTTAACTGTGAAATTAGCACAAATTGTCTAAAATTGTTTTATTATTTACACTTTTTTGTCTTTGTACTACTCAGTTTAGTTAATATTTTGATTTGATCATTACATTTTTGAATGCACACACACACACACACACACACACACA